GCATCTGGCCTTTAGCAGAGAGGTGGAGGGTGCCCAGATAGTTAAGGATGCAGAAGTGGACATGAGGTCTCCCCTCCTCTCACCCCTCCGCCACTCATCCTCTAAAGGGAGGGAGATCTAGAGAGCATGAAGTTGGGGCCTTTTTTCTAGAAGCCTTCTCCAATTTGGGGATGGGGCACAGACCCCATCACTGACTAACCTGAAGTTCAGTTTTCCCTTCCTCTCCATCTGCCTGCACTCCTGTCTTCCACGGAGTCCTCTTGTTTATAGTTGAGGGATGAGGGAGACTCTCCCACCCTCCTGGAGAGGAAGTGTGGAGTGGGGTCGAGACCCGGCCTGGACGCCACTCACTCCTTAGGCCCTGACAACAAAGCAGGGAGGGGACAACTGTCCCTGAGCCCAGGAAGGAGGGTGTTCACTGACGCTGGGGGTGGTGGTGCAAGCAGCCTAGGAGTCTCAAGAGTCCCAGAGACTGAGGCTCCCCCCATCTTCTTATCTCTGCTGAGGTGGGGGAGGGGAGAGAAAGAATAAATTCCCAGCCCTAGGTTAGCGACCGGGGGAACCCTCCCCTCAATTCTGCGCAAAAAGCCACAGTGAAGAGGGGCTTTCCGACACATCCAGAGACTAAATTCCAGGCTCTTAAGATGCCCTTGAGGGGTCTTTCTTAACCCTGCATTTTTGAAGTGGGGAAACGGAGGCTTAGAGAGGACTCAGCCGGGTCAGTCAGCATTGGGAAGTGAACATGTATCTCCCCATCATTCCTCTCTGCCCCCAAGGACAGAATATTCTGGCATTTCACACCAAGCCCCAGGCCTGTTTACAGGCAGAGAGTAGAGAGGGGCTTAGAAAGGCTTCTCTTGGCCCCACACGCTGCTTCATTCCGGGCTCCAGGGGGCAGAGAGGCCCACGGGAGAACCGATGGTGATAAAATTACCTTGACATTCTGGAACACAATGATAATAGTAGGACTTATTGATTGCTAGCCAGGCACTGGCGCTGCTCCTGGCTTTGCAAACTGCTCAGGGACATTCTCAACCTTCCTCTGGGCTGTGAATCCCTTTGCTAACCTGTTAAAAACTACACTCCCTCCTACCCTTGCCCTCAGAAGGTGCATGCCTGTGACATTATAGAATTATTTTGGAGGTTTCACGAAATGGCTGAGCCCATCCATGAAGGCAGGGTCTGGCTAAATGTCTCAAAGATACCGCCGGTGCCGGTTTACTTTCCACAGAAGTCAGTATTCACCACCATCACCACCCCCATTTACAGAAGGGCTGTCCTAGGTCACCCTGCAGGGCCAGGTCTGATAGCAGAGATGGGGCTTCAGGCTTCCAGGCCCAGGGTGAATCCGCAGGCCCTGGGCTGGGGCTGAGACGCCTTCTGCAGCCTTCTCCCAGTGGGGGATGAGCCTTGGTGCTTTTATCTAAAAAGTGAAACTAATAACGGTGCCTGGTACCTATTTCTTAGGACAGTGGGGGGCTTGGACAAGACGGTGCAGAGAAAGGCTTAGGCTATTCAAACAGAAACAAGAAACCCACCAGGGGCTCAGCTCCTGGGGCACGGGAAGAAAATCCAGACGGGAGCAGGGATCCCGGGCTGCTCTGGGCTCTTAGCTTAAAATCCATAAAGACCGCGCCCCCTCAATCCCAGATGAAATCTGCCTTCAGGCCCCAGGAATCCCCAAATTGGCTGGAGTGGGGGTGTAAAATCAGACACGCCTGTGACGCCTCTCACTCCCCAGGCCCAAGGTATTTTTACTGGCTAATTGCTTAAGTGAAGCCGCCCCGGCCCAGAGCGCGCAGTAACCCGAGCGGGGAACCAGATCCAGCTTCGATTGAGCCCGGGCGGGCCGCGGGGCGGGGGCAGGGGCGGCCGCCGACCACCCACAGCGAGGGCAGTGGCCCTGCCGCCGCTGCTCCGCGTTAGACCGGCCTGCACCCCCTCACCCCACTACCTGGAACCCCCCGCGAGGTGAAGTCCAAACG